GCCCCGTCACCCTTGGAAGACCCCTTACCCCTGGTCTTTGTGCCCCGTTTCCCTTGGAAGACCCCTTCCGGGGGGTCTTCATGCCCCGTTTCCCTTGGAAAACCCCTTTCTCAAGGTCTTCGCGCCCCGTCACCCTCGGAAGACCCCCTTCCCCGTGGTCTTTGCGCCCCGTCACCCTTGGGAGACCCCTTACCCCCGCGATGTTGCCCTCCCGCCCGCTCATGGACTGCAGCACCGCCTTGTCAAGCCCCAACTTGAGGCTGGCCTTGTCGAACATCTCCCGCTCGTAGGAGTTCCGCGTGATGAGGCGGTAGACCTTCACCGCCTTGCTCTGCCCGATCCGGTGGCACCGCGCTTGAGCCTGGAGGAAGAAGACGGTGGGTCAGACCGGGTCGGAGACGACGTCGACGCCAACGCCAAGCCCACGGCGGTGGGGCGGACCCGGCGGCTACCTGGAGGTCGTTTTGGGGGTTCCAATCGGAATCGAAGATGATGCAGGTGTCGGCGGCGGTGAGGTTGATGCCCAAGCCACCCGCCCGCGTGCAGAGGAGGAAGACGAAGCGATCCGAGTCGGGCTTGCTGAAGCGGTCGATGGCGGCTTGCCGTAGGTTGCCCCGTACCCGTCCATCGATCCGCTCGTAGAGGTACCTTACGGGGTCACCAGAACCGCGTTCGGGGAGGGCACGAGGGTCCCTCCCCGGGGCCACCCGTCGCCCCGTCGTCCCACCTCTCACCTCTTCTGGATGAGGTAGTCCTCCAAGATGTCGAGGCATCGCACCATCTGGGAGAAGATGAGCACCTTGTGGCCGCCGGCCTTCAGCTTGGGCAGCAGCTTGTCGATGAGCACCAGCTTGCCGGCCGAGCGGACCATGGCCTGGAGGTGGAAGTCGTGGGGGACGTGGTGGTGGCAAGACTCCCGAAATTCGGCCAAGATCTTCTCCTCCGCGCCTGTCGGGTGGGGAGGGGACCATCAGCGGGGTGGCCGGGGGTGGCCGCGAGACCTTCTCAAGAGACGCCCCACCAAAGCAAGACTCGGAGGGGCATCAAAGCCCAACTAGATGAGCCGGAGGACCTCCTCCGCCGCGACGTCGAGCCCACCGGGCAGCTCTGCGGAGGTCGGGGAAGAGAAACCCCCAACCCAAGAGGCCACCAAATCCCCGGCGGGAGAAAGGGCGAGGCCGGGAGAAGCAGGGACGGGGCGGCGTTGACCCCCGAGGTTGTCCACCAGCGGTGGGGGAGGACGAGGGACACCCCGCCACGCCCTTGCCCGCCCCTGGTTCCTCACCGTTGATGAGGTAGGGGTGGTTGCAGCACTTGCGCAGCTCCATCATGGTGTTGAGGAGGTTGGGCATGTTGGTGTGACCAGCGCCTTTGGAGAGGAAGGAGAAGTTCTTCTCCAAGATGGCCCGGTAATATTTCTTCTGAATGTTGGTCAACTCCACCTCGATGATCGTCTCCTGTTTGGGCGCCAGGTTCTTTTCCACGTCCTCCTTCAGCCGACGGAGCATCATGGGCTTGAGGATGGCCTGGAGCTTCTGAACCTGCCGGTAGGACCAGCGGGGAGAAGTCACCGGCGGGCCGGGCAGGACCCAGGTTGGGCGGGGAAGGGTCCGGGGTCCTCCCGATGTCCTCACCTGCTCCTCCGTCTTGAGATCCCCAAAATCCTTGAGGAACTCTGCTTCAGAAGGGAACTGGGAGGGCTCCAGGAAGTGCAGGAGGCTGAAGAGCTCTTCCACCGTGTTTTGGAGCGGGGTGCCCGTCAAGAGGACTTTGTGTTCCTGACGACCAGGGGGGGCAGAACGTTAGGGCTTGGGGTGGGGTAGGCGTGGGACACGCCCAAACCTCTCCAGATGCAACCAAAACGCCCCAACACCTTCAGGGCCATCCCAAACCTCTCCAGATGCAACCAAGACCCCTCCCCACCCCTTCAGGGCCATCCCAAACCTCTCCAGATGCAACCAAGACCCCTCCCCCCACCTTCAGGGCCATCCCCCACCGGCGCGGGAGCGGCCAGAACC